GGTCATACTGGTTACATATTCATTGACAAGCTAGCTCTCGACCGATCCCTAGGGGAAGAACTAGAAATGTCTCAGAATTTATTGCCGAGGTGACCGAAGACCTGGGATAAAATCAAAAAATCCGCTCACGCCTGGTGTGTTATTTTGGATTATTCTCCGCTTAATGATGATGAAACGCAATAATAATAATATTAGCGTCACGAAGATGAGCAGCGTTTTTGTCGAAGATAAGGGAAAGAGCGATTGAGACCGATTGAGAGAGAGTGAGAAAGGGCGAACGTAGCAATATACGAAATTCTATTTTTAAAATTAAAATTTCGTAAAAAGAATTTATGAAATAATAGTATTTTATACATATTCTAAAATTTTGGGATTTCAATAAATTGTTTTGCATAAAATATAAAATAAATCATTAATTCTCTTTACGAAATTTTAATTTTAAAAATAGAATTTCGTATATTTTCACAAATATAGGTATACAAATAAAAGAAAAAGAAATAATACATGGAGTGATCATATACTGGTACATGATCATCTATTAGAGCTTTTACCTTAGTAATAATTAATTTACAAAGAAGTTTCACTTCTGACATGTGTACTTTGAACGCTTTTTTTTCTAATTTAACTACAATTTAAAACTTAGATGTTATTATAAGAAAATTCAATCAAATAAACAAATACTCACCTCCATAATAGGTGAATATAACAGAAGCTATTATTAAATTGAATTCCACATTTTCTTTTCCATAATGTGAAATGAATAAAATTACCATCAGAGCAATATCAAATCACCTGCCGCCAGGAGTCAACCGAGTAGTCATTTGTTACCCTTCTGCGTACATTTATAACGTTTCTCACCGCTTGCCGCTCACGCCTGCTAAATATATTTAATTAAAATTACGTGCCCTCCGAGGATTCACATGAACACTAACGCGTAAGATAAATTTAATTCTTGCGAGGATCTCAACACCTTTATTAGTCTGAGGTGATATCTCATCAAGATAAAAATGTTTTGAGAAATTGCGGATCGTTGCTTTGTTTATTTTAATTATGGAGAATTTTTATCACGTAGTGAGTGGATTCAATACTTGTATCACGATTGCTAAGGTACCAAATATTACAATTGAATATAACGTTCTGTTGACAACACATTTGTTTTTTATGTGCCAGCCTTGCGATTCTGTAACTCACTTTTCGAACTCTCACAGTGGTTTTCGTAGCGGCGGTCGCGCTCAAATCAGTCATGAAGCAGTCATTTTACGATTTGGCATTCTGATAAGGAGGGAGCTAGTAGTTTATTGTTTATCAAAATGCCAAATCGTGAAAAGTGAGTTACGAAATCGCAAGGCAGGGGTAAACGGGCCGGAGGCTCACCTGATATTAAGTGATATAGCCTATAGACACTCCAATTGCCAGAGGACTCTCAAGTGCGTTACCGGTTGGTACGCTCAGTTAGTTAATGTATAAATTGTATTCATAAAGCTAAACTGAAGTTTTATGAATACGTGTAATTTGATAAGGTTTGCAGTTATTTTTGTTAGATTTTGTATCGGGTCGGAATTAATAAAATCCTTCTTTCTTCTGAATATATGTAAAATCAATATTCAAAATCTGTAAACATAATTGCTTGTACGTGACTAGCTTAATATTTTCAGCGCGCTTAGTTTGCCTAAATTCTATCTAAATTAATCTATTTATTCTTATCACCACAGAGTAACTAAACTCTTAAGTCTAGAGATTACTGAAAAATTACATATTGTCATTCTCTATTCAAAAATTGTATAAAAAATAAAAACAATGTTTTGCTGCGATATTGACGGGTAATTAATATTACTAAGCAGCATCCGTATGCTACCGATAATTAATAACGGATAATTTGCTTCGTATTAGTGATTAATTGCGGGCTTCGTTAACATATGCTCAGGAAATTCGAAATTATTGAAGTTGTTTACGATGTATCACAGTTTGTTAGACTATTCCCGATACAAAATTTTACCATCGTTTAGTATACCCTTAGATATAAGGTTTGTACCACTATGGAGGATATATGAATAAAAAATCAGTCTTCTATGTCAAACGTTTCGAAGCAGTTGTTTCGGCGATAATTGAACCATTCAAACCACGCTTGCGGCTGGCGAACAAATATTTGACATAAAATGTTCCTGCTAATAAAAATAATATACAGACATGTATTTCCCTATACTAAATTCAAATTCAAAATCATCTATTCATTTAGGTAACACAATGTACACTTATGCACGTCAAAAGCATGTTCCACTTGACATCTTTAAGTAATTAACTATAATAATAAAAAAAATTTTACTCTATCAGCACAATTTTTTTTATTATTTTAGTTAATTCAATAAAGCACGGTGAAATACGACGCACTGACATTCACCAAATACAGTATCAATTACTTAGTTTTTTTAATATTTGAAATAAATTAATTTAATCTTAGCGATAGGAACAGTCATACAATTACATTATAAATCCAAAAGTTATTCATACATTGATATATATGTCGCAGCCAACTAGCTTAGTTAGATGACGTTACTTTACTTGTCTATCCTGTTATTTCAATTAAGTTCCACTTTCTGCCACCTTCTTTTATGTAATAGGAGGGAAACGGGCTGGAGGCTCACCTGATGTTAAACCTACTCAAAACTGTCAATAAAGCGTCAGAAAACAACAAATTTGATGATGTTTTCCAAAGTTGATGAAAAATATGAAAATTATGGAAGAGTGTAGTGTTACTAAGAGTAAGTGTAAGAACACTAATATATAAGTTACATTTTAAATATATTTAAGAAAGAATTTCTTCTAATTCTGAAGATTTTATTTATGTAACATGATCGTACGAATTGCCTAAGCGTTAGCCAGCCAGTGTACTAAATCATGTAACAAATGCTACGGCTGAAATATAATTCAGGCCGTTAAACGGCACTGTTTAGTAAAGAGGCTAGGTTGTTAATTGAGCGGCTAATTAAACTAGTTGGCTGCGACATATATACTTTATATTTTTGACTTGAGGCCAGGAAATTATTCACAATTACGTGGAACAATAAAATAATACAAAATGCGGATCCAATAAAGCTATATCCACCATAACCAAACATAAGCAGTAAAGAGTATTCTATTTTTAAATTCAAATCCTTAAACCAATTTGCTAATTGTATATATTCTGTGATATAAAACAATAAAGATATCAGAGCTGGACAAGAAGCCTTACCGCCGGTTGTTGTTTGTTTTTTGCGGCCCCATTTGCTAACTTTTAATTGGATAAACAGTTTACTGTTAACGAAGCATTGAAAAGGGTTCACGATAAAATCAACATTTATCGCGATCACTTCATTATTACGTTTTAAATTAACACAACTAGACACTGTATAAGATTTTATGAAGGTGATAGTTTAAAAAAATTGGTAGTTAAGAGTACTGTTACATAAAATGATGAATGAATCTGATACAGTATTAGGTTTAAAGAAATATATTCTCATTAAAACATACGTCACGTCACGTCACTTATATGAGCTAAAAATATATTAAAAGCATAAAAAGTGAAATATATCTGTATTAGAGACCATCTACCAAAAAACTTCGAAGGCGTATTCCAAAAACGTCTACTGCTACTATTTCCCTTATTTTAGAATGCAAGCTGTTATAACACTCGCTCCGAAATGTTATATTTTTGCGACCGTGTATTCGTTTCTGATTTTAGGTAGATGTATATGATTAGCTATTTGTGGGATTGAAGTTAAATTTAATACTTGCTAATTTAAATTTGTTTAAACTAAAATGCATGTTGTTTTACAAGATGCTTGCTTTTGGAATCTAATTTAGTCAAAAAGTTTGGATTTTGACATATTAGTGTCATAGTTCGCGCTAAGTCTAGTTTCTGTATTTGTCACCCAAAGTGCAAAGAAAGTTTTTTTATAAATTTTTCCTATGTAAATATATAAAAGGAATATACTTTTATTAATACGCGTTTATTTAGCTTAAATTCTTAGATATCGTAAATTTAAGGATTTTACAAGAATATTACATTGTAATAATTTATATGTTAGTTTATTCGTATTATGTATATGAATTTTTATAATACGTACATACATGTATAATTGTTTTCTGACTACTTCATAAGAGCCTTTGAGCCTTTCAAAAATATGCACTCACATTTTATAAAGTAAATAAATAAATATCACTAAATTTTTGGGGCGTATAGTGTATACCCTCCTAGACCTAGACATGTTACTCCATCATTGTCAAAGTTAAAAGCATAACAAATGAATGGGCAAAGCCGTCACCACTAACGGATTTAATAGTTTTGATTGTAATCCCGGATGTTACAACAAAGAAAAGCTTTTTGTGGAAACAAATCTACCCAATACGAAGTGCTTCACTATTTCAAAAACCTTATTATTTACTTAAAGATATATCAACTCCAGAAAACTCTTTATAAAAACGATAGTAAATTTAAGTACTCGAACCTTATCATTGCACTTAAACTAATGAGAAAATCCTTAAACCGTATATCGTTCAAGTCGATTTGCTGCGATATAAATCCAATTTTGATCGAATGAATTTGGTCACGCGATACTATACCATATTACATTTACATAAGGGCGATACGTGTTCAACAAGTAAGTAGCAATAAGCTAATATTGCACTCCCGCAATTCCAAACGCGAATTGCATATTTTGGACTTCTAATGCAAACTTGTAACATTTAACATTATAATATCTTTGTTAGTTTAAACATAAGGGATGTTATGGATATGATATTTCGGATCTGGATACGGATACGGATATAGAAATAAAATTATATCGGTTTCGGTTACGGTTACGGATATGTAATTATTTCGGATTATCCGTTAGTTTCGGATAGTTTCGGTTACGGTTATTAGATTGCAGTAAAATAAAAACACAAATAGTATGTAATCATTTGGTTTTATTTATAACAAAACCATATATATGTACTTATAACAAAATATAAGTTGCCTACATTTAATCATAGTTCTTATAGTCGAAACTGAGCAGAGGAAGATTATATTTAACAAAAAGCAATTTTGCAGCCTTATCACCTGAAAGTCGATTCCTTAAGGGGTCATAAATTAATCCAGCAGCACTGAAAAGCTGCTCACTCGGTACACTGCCAGCAGGCGGAGAGAGGTACTGTCTTAGTAAATTACTTAAGCTATGGTACTTGGTATGAATTCTCCACCATGTAAGCGGATCTTCATTGAGTGACAGTCTTTTCTCTCTATTGTATTCAGTTAGTAATGTCTTTTTAACAATGAATTGATTGTACACATTATCAGCACAATCTATATTGTGCTCTTCCTCATCACTTATGCTTAATATTTCAGCTAGACAAGATTGAATGTGTGATTGGTGGCTTGAGCTTGTTGTTGCTAGCTCATTGCGTGCTATTTTAGGTGAAGAAGAACCTTCATCATGTGAAGTTTTAGAACATCCTAAGATTTCCAAAATCTCGGACTGTACCTGTTCCTTAGTAATTTCGGTAAAAAATTTGAGCTTGTACCGTGGATCTAAATAAGTAGCTATTGTATATAACTTATTATTTTGAATGTCCTGAAATCTGACATTGATGTCCTGGATCATTTTTGTGATCATTAAATTAAAGTTGTCGGAAGTGTCTTCTTTATTCTTCTCTGTTTCTAAAGTATTTTTAAGAGTATAGATTAATGGAATTACTGAAGCTATTGTTGCAGTAGCACTGCTTAACTCCTTTGTAATTTCTTCAAACGGCATTAGTACAGTAATACACTTTTTCAAGTCGAGCCATTCATCAGCAGTAAGAATAGGTATAGCATGCATTCCTGAATACAGTACTAATGAATCTTTTAATTTCAATATTCTTGACATCATATAATACGTTGAATTCCAACTGCGAATAAATAAAACTAGTGTCAAAACTAATAAAACAAAAAATATCTATCCAAAGGTACCTTATAGGGTAACTTACCGGGTGGAACATTCCTGAAGTATACTTAGTTCTGATTGGTTCAATCTTTCGATTTGGATATGTTTTAATTCATTTTGCGCAATTAAAGAATGATTGAAGTGAGTCGCAATTTTTTTGCACTTTGCAATCACTGGCAAGAGAAACTCTTCGCTTTCCATTGCCGATCGAACACACAATTGTAGTTGATGAATAGTACAGTTAGCATCAGTGAAATGAGCCATATTCATAGCTTTTATCATATTAGAACCTCTGTCGCGTAAAATACAATGAACTGATTCCGCGCTTAAGTTCCAGTCTTTCAAAATATTGTGCAAATTATTCGCTATTATTTCACCTGTATGACGACCCTCTAATTGTTCACACTTGAGTATTATAGAAATTCTTTCGTATTTATTTGTGATGCCATGAGCAGTAAGGCTCAGTAACGAGACATTTGCGCTGGGCTCGGACCACACATCTGTAGTGAATGACAGCTTTTCAAATTGCTTGAGTAATTCCAGAACCTTTAGCCGCATTTCGCTATATATACCATTACACAGTAAATTTGTGAAATACTGCCGACCTCTAAGATGATAACGAGGTAATGCTGCCTGCATTACTCTTTGAAATCCCACACCTTCCAAAACTAAATGGCAAGTTTTGTAATGAAATCATTTCGGCCACCAATCTATCCATTTCTTTTTGTTTGACATTACTATCATCCCAGGTACTATTATTTTTTAAAGAATCTGTTAATAATAACTGTTTTTGACACTTTTGTAAAGGTGTCAGCTGTTTGGATGTTTGTGGTTTTTGTTGCCTATTTTGTTCCAGCAATAAAAGTTCTTTGTACTTATCACTGTGTTTTGATTTGAGATGAAGTTTTAGTGAAGTAGTGCCACCTCCTTTCCGGGAAAAGTTTTGATCACACTGTTTACATTTTGCATGATCTATATTAACTTGATAAAAAAATGTCTCGCATTTTGTTTATAGATATCAATTAAACACTTAAAACAAGACTTTCTTAAATTAAGTATCAACTCTTAAACAAAAAACTAACAAATTAATGAAAGAGGTTATGCTATGACTTGCAGTTTGTTCGTTATTTCTAATAGAAAAAAATAAACTACAAGATTCACGTGTCGCGCGAGCGGTGAAACAAAAGCCTGTCGAAACATGTCGTTTTATTTAGATTTTAGACTCCGCCCATATTCGGAACTATCCGAAACTCGTGAAACGGATACGGTTACGGTTACGGATACATATTTTTTTCGGATATCCGATAGTTTCGGTTACGGTTACGGAGCTCCATAACATCCCTAGTTTAAACGTAAGGGAAATAGTACAACTGTTCCGAATTCATGCAGTAATATATCAACAGTAGGTATATACAACGCAAACTAGGTGCGAATGAAAATATTACCATTCGAGTATATAGCAGAATATTAGGTAAGTAGTAGCAAGGAGTGTTAAATATATACCTAGTGATAATGCGTTACATTCTCTTTGGAAAGAAACAAAACCACTGGCAGGCAATAGCCCAAAGATTAGACGTAATAATAATAAAATAGCAATGGATGCTCTTTTGTTTTAAAAAAGAAATCATTTGTTTGCGTCGTGTCGGAACGTGTTCTTAAAAATAGGTATATTTTAAGTTCGCGCGGTTTTCAATAATGTTTGAAACTTTTTACTACGGAATTTCGGAATTCATGCTCCCCTATATTCTTCAGTTACGTGCGTTGGTGTGCTGAGTTCCAGCGAGGAAGAATTTCATTTAAGGACGACCCCCGCACGGGACGCCTTACATCGGTGACTGAACAAATGATTTAAAAAGTTGAAAACATTGTCTTGGCGGAAAAATAAATGAAGATTTCTATATATATTCTAAACCACCATTTGGGTATGAAAAAAGTGTCAGTGCGCTAAGTGGCCAGCATGTTTTCTGGGTGCAGAAACAAACGAGACAGAATTTAACCAAGCTGCTTTTTAGCTCGATTCATAACTATGAATGAAACAGGGCTTCACCATTTTGACCTGGGAACGAAACAATAGTCCGTCTTGGAAGACACCGTCATCTTCAACTCCGTACAATTAAATCAATTCCTATTTATTTATTTTTTATTTCACCGATACGCTTGTAATCAATTCTTCACTTACTAACAAGTAACAACGCACACGCAACCCATCCGGTATTGTAAGTGTCTCAATAATAAGCGCTTAATCGATTCATATTAAATACTTAATACTATATGATATAGTAGTATCGATGCTAGACTAAAACAATATTAAATAATCCTATAAAATCTATTTTACTTCGTTTTAATTATTTAAATCTAATTCAAAAGGGCACGCACTTCATCATTCAGTATTTTACGAGTACAACTTTGGTCCTTGAACATAACTTAATTCTTTTATTTCCACTTCATTGTCTAACTTCACTACAAAGAGTTTAAATATAGAATTTCAAAGTCCAAAGATATATGTTAAGAAAAGTAAACAGCCTTGTTACTTCACGTCTACGAATTCAGCTATTATCCTCTTTCCAGCAGTTCCATTAGTGAATAAGCGTTAATTCTTCTCTTTTTGTTTGCGGTAAACTGCAGCCCATTAACGACCACGTCAATCTGCGTATTAAATAGTTTTTCAGGCGGTTTTTTTTTTTGTTTTTGTTGGTTTCAAAAAAAATATCGACTATTTATGTTATTAGTGTATCATAAGTTTTTATAATTGTATAAGTTATACTATCCTAAGTGTTCCTCAACTTATTTTTTGTTAGTTTATTGCTTTCTTTGATATATGTAGATAGTTGGATTAAAATGTTTTTATTCTTACCGATCCACTTAATTATTAAGTGAAGATTTGTTCAATGGCGTAAAAGTATATTTAGTACGTAAGTTATAAGCTAAGCTAGTTTATCTTTCTTAATAAATAAAATAAAAAATATTATATGCACAAATATGTGTTTCTCGTTTTGTAATAGATTTATAAAACACTAGTGGACCCCACAGACGTTGTCCTGCATGATATTTAAAGCGATTAGGATATTAAGCAAAGTATGAAAGTACCGACTGCAGTGCCATCTGCCGGGCTGATTTGTGAATCTAAACCATTCCCAGATCCCCTTGAACACACACAAAAAATTTCATCAAAATCGGTCCAGTCGTTTGAGAGAAGTTCAGTGACATACACACTCACAGAAGAATTATATATATAAAACATATACTTGTTAGCTGGAACAATACCATTTATAATAATATTTTTAATACAACATCAAAATCGTGTATCAAAGATTAAATTATTTATAAAATACAGTTTTGCAATTTGTTAATAATACCAACATTCAGGTAAATTTAAATTTATCAGTCAAAACGTTTTGCTTGTAATTATTAAAATAACATACAACTAAACAGTAAAAATTTCAACATTTTTTATAATAGTTTATAACTTTATATTATATAACTGTGTCGAAGTGTTCATTAGCCGTAGTTAAATTTTCTTTAAATTTCTAACCCGTATGAAACACGCATTTGATAAATTAAATACTTTGTTGAGCGTGATGTATGTTAATAACAGTTTTAATGATATTAAACGAAGGAAAAAACCCAATTATAAAAGTTTTTATTTTTACTTATTCACAATTCATTGCACAACACAAAAACGAGTTACAAGATATAAAATTAAAAATACATTACACAGTGCAATGTAAAACACAAACACCTTATCGCTCATAAGCGATCTCTTCAGGTTTCCCTAGTTATCAGGGATATAGGGATAAGTTAACATCAAATATGTATTAATTTTTGGGTGCCCCTAATTAGGAGTAAGGTGCTTTCCAGGTGGCTGCCAGACAATGTTGGGCAAATTAAAATCATCATAATTAGTACGACATTTCAATTCATTGTTAAGGATGAGTCCAATCATATTATGTTAATTTTTAATTATGCATAACTCCTTCTAAATTTAAAAAGTATTCACCTATTAAACTTGTATTACAAAAGTAGACAGAATATATTTTATACTAATTTGAGCACTGATTCCAGGTGATTAAAAACTCTGTACAAATTTTATGCCTACTTACAGTGCACCCAATAACGTAGTAACGAACCGCAAATTTATCTCTGTTCGAATCCACCACAACTCTACTCGATTTAAAATTACTGTGCATTTAAAAGTAAAAACGGAAATTAATTAAGGCATTATACCAGGCTCTTGCTTTATTCAGAATTTGAATATCACACTATTATTAAAACGCGTTTTTGTAGGATGTCATAAACATTTTTTATTTGCTTGCTTTGGATTTTATGCTTGTCCTGGTGTTGCGTGCTTTACAGTTTGCATGTTTGAATATCTTTGTAAAATTTATAATAAATGCGTTTGTATTTAGTATTTTAATAGTATTGCGAGTTGATTTCTACTTATTATAAATTTACCATACCCTTAATTAAAAAGTGTTATCCCTTATTTTGAATAAACGTTTCATTTATAAATATAGAGTTGGGAAAATAATAATACGTTGCTGGAATAAAGAATCTTAATTGCTACGCCGTAGGCTGTACTAACTGCTACGAAATATGCGAGTCCAATCAAGTTTAAGAATGGTATGGCTACGTTATATTTCACTTCATGTTTTTCTATTATAAGTACTCTATCAGTACGGGACAGAGGATATTATTTGTGACATCTGTTTTTATTAAGAGTAAAAACGGGTTCAAACCTAACATACTAAAATATACAGCACCAAAAATATTTTGAATTATTAGAGGTATAATAAACAGCAACACTGGCACTAAAATATTTCCCTAGCTTTAGAATTTTCGTAGCTTATAGTGAAATAATTTCAAAAATATTTTCCCTGCCACTACACAAATTTAAAATACTACTCAAATCTAAAAAGTATGTAAACTATGTATATACTAACCCAGTAGTTGAAGTGTCCTATATTGAAACCGGCCTCAATTTATTTTTATAATTAAGGCCGATTAGTTAGTTAGTAAAGTAGATTTTTTGGTCCAAACTTGCCGACTATCTCACGATGTTTGCCTTAACCGTGAGAGTGAACGCGCTCACAGAAAGAACAATTGATTAGTGCGTAGGCATGATACGAACATACAACTTCAGGGCTGATATTCTCATACTTATGCTAACTCAGTTTAGAAGTGTATCTTATGATATTTTTGCGTATTAATATTGCAAGTGTGGGCAGCTCGCGAACTTAGGGACACGAGTTTGTTTTATACTACGTAAGGATTTCGGCAAACCATATTCCATAGAGAAAGAAGGAGAATAAAATAATTAAGTGTACATAGTAAACAGATTTTCTCAACTATTCTCCATTTAAATATTGGACGCTGGTAAACAGCACAGTGCCCAAACATCTGAGAATCGGATAAACAATAAAATTTATTTAGGTACATAGAAAGAGTATAAGATAAACCAATTAAATTAATTACTTTATCAATCCAAGACGCATTAAATCAGTAGCGTCTTGCAAAAGATTTAAGCGTAACTTTATATCAAATCAAAAGATGTAACATGC